GAGTGTATTGAGAATCGGTCAGTCTAAAATGTCCTTTTCTTGTAGGGGTGGCTTAGTAGGACTGCGCTAGGTACTATAATAGAGTATGCTGGGAGTGTAATTCAGTGAGTGATTCCAAAACATAATTAACCTCCTAAAGGAGAAATTTAGAATACTAACAGTTATCTTTACAGGGCATCTGTATAAGCTGGGAATAGGGTCAAATGATCTATGTCGGTTCTGCGACAAGGCCAGCAAGATACCACTACATATTCTTACCGAGTGTGATGATATCTGCAGAAGGCGTATATGTTGGTGTTGGTTGATTTTTCCAATTGATTGGTAAGATCATTTATTTTGGAACGAATTGCCGTCATCCCTTGTCAAGTTTGGTTTGGAGACAAACAGCCTTCGGAGTTGTGCCATCTTCACCTTTTATTTCAAACCGTTTTGAACTGATTTGTAAAAAATTGGTATCGTTGTAAACGTGAAGAAAGGGGGTATTTTCTTCTGATATGCATGTTTGTATACTTCGTATGTAAACATTTGAGAAAAAACATTTGAAGGGGAAAAATAAATTTTTTCATAAAAAAAAATTACTAACCGATTTTTAAAAAATTGATATCGTAGTAAACGCAATTAAACCTTCTTTCTTCTGATATGCGTATTTGTATACTTCGTATATAAAAATTTGAGAAAAAGCGCTTAAAAGCAAAAAATACCTTAAAAAAAATATTTTAAACAAAAAAATTAAACCCGATTTCTTAAAAATTGGTATCGTTGTAAAGGATGCCAGAAAACGTATACTTTCTTAAACCCAAAAATTTCTGTTTATATACACAAAAAAAAAAATTATTAAAAACATGCCCCCGTGCCCCCTAGGTGAATGGTTGTCTACGTCCTTCTATACAAAACAATTAAAATATTTAAACCGTACATCATACGGTCAGTTTGTTCTTTTAGAGTGCATAAATGGTTTCATAATAATGATTCCAGTATCTTGATTTAGGTACATATATTGTAAGGCTGACTTCCATAACGTATCAATACAATTTTTGGATGCTGTTATACGGCGGTATTCAAACTGTTTGTATATGCAGAATTGCGACACATTGCATTCTGTCGACTGAAAAATCAGGCCCGCTGAACGCGAATCTGAAGTCCTTTTGACTTCTACACCCACAAAATTTCGAGTAAATTTTGAAAAGTCGAAAAAATGGCAAAAAAAAAATCGCCTAGTTTATAGTTTTAATAAAACCTTCGGAGTAAATGACGTGAAAAATTGGAGCAGAAAATGAAATTCCGACGTAGAATTCTTTAACATCACTCATTTGCATACTCATAATTATTATGAAGTATATATATCGTCGTTTAAAGTACAAAACCGCGTATATTCGTTCTGCAAAACCGCCTAACTGACATTTTTTGCCATAAATTTGATTTGCTCACACAAGCTCTTGGCTCAAGCCTTATCCATTCGGCCTGAAATATACTATCCAGATATGCGATTTCTTTATAAAAAAGAGAACCATTTTACTGTACTTTAAAGGACGATACGTGCATAAATAAGTCATGGTTGGGCTTTCTAAACGTCCGGGTCTAGGAGCCTCCGGGGTGGGGGAAAAATCTGCGAGCTGCGGGTATGCCACCAATTTTTTCGAGTTGCGCGTTCGACAACTTTTCGGATTCGTTTTGGAAAAGTATACGTTGTCAATGTTATGTATATACTTACGTTCTGTATTGAAAAAATAGTTTGTTATTTTCTAATATAACACAAATTTGTGAAACAAAAGTGATACTTTTTCAAAAAAGGCTGTTTGTTGTGTATATTACACAGAGTTTTTATTTACCTTTTAGAAAAAGCTGGAGAAATTTTTGTTATAATTTGTTGAAAAAACTTAAGCCCCCCTTGCCCATATGATTAGCACGTGCTATGAATAGTTTTTCAGTTTTTCGCATTTTCTGACGAACGTGTAATTTTAAGTTTTGTCACCTTTATAGATCGTGTGTGATATGTACGATACTTTTTTCTGATAGGTGGGCCAGGGACCGATTTATTAGAAAATATCTTTTTATGGACTGATTTGCTTGAAATTCGGTGCACGTATTATAAATATACATAGAATGGAATTGAATGATTTTTTACGGTTCGAAAGGTGCTGCAAGGCCCCGCCAATCGTTCGGGCATTGGCTATTTATCTATACTTATTATTAAAGAGTAGTCCCTTTTTTATTACAACGCTTTTATCAACTTGCAATGTTGTGGCTCCAGAAATTTTCAATGTTGTGGATCCAGAAACTTTCAATGTTGTGTGTCCGACACCATAAAACCTTTGCTTTGCAAAGTTCCTATAAAAAAGTCTAGTGCATAGGGCGACATCTGTAGTGAATAGGGCGAGGTAGATGACATCCAGATGTCGCCCTATGTACTACGTTCGCTACAGCGGAAATAGACGACACGCCATTTCTTTAAATAAAATTAAT